ATAACAAATTTACGTGCAGTGATTCAAATGTAGTGAAAAGTTAGCTTTAATATTAAAGTAAACTGATCTATAGTCAAACTTTAAGGGAAGAATATTATATGTGTTTTGTTGTTCGGTTTTTTCCGATATTTTAATTTTTTAAGCGTGTAATGAGTATGTAAAAAATAACATTTAAAAATACATCATAACTCACTAAAAATATAAATAAGGGAATAAACAGACCCACAAAACACAGATAATGTTCTTTCTATAAAATTATAAAATTTGATTATAGGTCAGTTTACTCTAATATTAAAGCTAACATCCACTACATTTGAATCAGTGAACGCAAATTTGCTATGTTGAACGTATGTCAGATGGAGACAACACATACGGGTGTGACATCCTCTGAAATTACGTTAAATGTTACCTATGGTACAATTTTTAATTGACGTACAGTCGTTTAATGCATGAGATACGTTAACTGTTTATTATCAGCTTATACAATGCGTATCACAATTTTTCACGTGTTGAATATTAACGTTGTTGTATAAGTTTTAATTAATTTTTTTTTCAACGTATATTTAAGGTAAGTCTATTAATTTTTATTTTATATTAAACTATAAAACATACTTGATTTAATGGTATGATTTTTGCATTTTATGTGATTAATTGTTATTGTTAATTCCTTACCGAAAATATGCATTTTCTTATAGTTTTCATCTCAAATTATTTTGTTTTTTTAAGCGTGTTTTTTAATTAAATTTAACAGCTTTAAATATTATTTATACCTTATATATTAATACCTTATAGTAAAATGAATAATAATAAATTTATATATTTATCTGTTCAGATTTACAAATTATTTTTTAATTTAGCCTATCACGGAATTACTTAATACCACAAAAATTAGTTTTATTTCAATTTATTCCCTTAAAACTTTTAAATTATATTTATATATATATATATATATATTTTTAATTATTTTAAAATAATTTATGGTTTTCAGATCACACACACTAGCACAATGCCAAAAACATATCGAAATTATAATAATTCTGAATTGGTAACGGTAGCAAAAATGGTCAATGAACTAATCTGATTCAGAAATATGAACTTAAAAGCCCAATTAATTTAAATTGTTAAACCGCGTCCACCCTAGCATAACAAGATGACGAACGATTCGACGAACTGTTCGTCAAACTGTTTGACAAACTATTCGCCGAACAACTAAAAAATATGTGTGTATGTTCGCGTAGGTTCGCGTATAGCTAAACTTAAAAAGTGATTATAAATAATAATATTTTAATTTTATGTGTTCGTGAAAATGTTCGAAGACGTGTCCATACATATCGTAACATGTTCGTGTAACATCCTTTGATGTTACGTCGAAATACCGATAACTGATGGATCGCCGATTTGTTCGATAGAATGTTACAAGTTCGCCCATTTGTTACACACGAATCTTGTTCGCGAACACATGTTACTCGTTTTGTTCGCTAGTATGGACGCGGCTTTATACATTTGAATAGAAAAATTATAAAATTATTATTTTTCATAATTATAATTTTTATTATTATTATTATTAAGAAACTATTACTTTTGTTTTATTTTAATTTTCTAAGTTAATTAGTAGTTAATTAGTTTGGTTAGATATTACCTACTATTTTATTTTAGAAATTAAGTATAAATATGTATTATTAAAATGTTATAATGAATTAATATTTGTTTTATATAATAAAAGAAATTATTTGAATGAAATATTTAAATTATTGTATGCTCACGAAATTACCTAACTTTTCTTAGAGGATTTTGAATTGCCATAAAAATAATTCAAAGGTCATAGAAATTCAAATGTATATAGATTCTAATTCCTTTACTCCATGTATAATTAATAATAATATGAATTATATTCAATAATTAAAATTGAATGTATAAGTAAATATTTTGTGAATTTATTACGAATATACCTCATTTTACCCTATATGATACCATTTATATTTTTTTATGATTGTTGTACGATATCTTTTCTATATATTTATGCGGACAATTATAATAAAATAAAAATTAATAATCAGAGACGGATTGGAATAATTTTTCGGCTCGGGTTTTTCACTGATTTTTTTTTATGTTATACATGGTTTTATTTATCGTATACGACTAAAATTGTATTTTATAAATAAAAAAGGATAATCTTATTATATTTATAGTTAAACATTTGAAAAAAAATATCTTACTTGTATCATTGGCAAAGTAAGTAAAAATGTGTAAGCCAAAGTCAATGTGCTCCACTATAAAGATTAAAGATTATATTTTATAAGCAGTCTATAACAACAGGTAGCACGATTTTTACAGGTCATAATATTTTGTATTATACATTTTATATTTATTTATGTAGCTTTTATAGTTATCTTCATCATCTACGTGACTCAAGGTATATGTATCCCAAATGTTTTATTTTTTAATGATTAACTTTTTAATTTTTGATTAATCGTAGAAGTAATTTGTTCTATATATTTTGTAAGCTATGTTTTGTTTTCAGAAATCATTCATCGTAACAATGACTGTTCGTGCCAATATGGCCTTTTCTATTGCATGTGTGTATATTTGTTTTTGTGTCGATTCTTTTCGCACGTATTGCCGTATGGTCGACGATAGCAACAGCTTTCGTGGGCTGACCGCCCAGCGCGCGTAAAATCGTTACTTTTGCAGTGATAAGGCGCGTAGCCCCCCTATCACACGCAAGGGCAGATTGGCCTATCGGGAAATTGGAAATCTTCCCGATGGGCCGGTCCTTATTTGATCCACTCTATATTATTATATAATTACCAAAAAAAAAAAGTTTTATTTTATAAAATAAATAAAAACCATTAAAAAAATAAATATATATTTAAAGATGCATTAAGATCAAATTTCAAGTTCAAGTTGTAACTGATTAATCATGTAACTTACCCAAAACTATTATAGCTATAATTATAGTAAAGTTACTGTAGATCTTACTAATTTAGGGGTGAAACTAAACAAATTTTGAAATTGATGCAAAATTAAGCATTTTTTGGGAGGGGGAAGGTTGAAATAGTTTAATTTGCGGTTCATGGGCCGGTTTGTTTCATATTTCCTGGGCCGAAAATAATTGCCAATCCGCCCTTGATCACACGTTACCAACTGTCACCCCATTTTGTGTATTTTATTATTGTCGAATTATTTTATATATATATATATATATATATTTCTTGTCAATTTTAAGATTGTTAAACCTGTTTTGCAAGCTTCGACGGTTACGACGATCGCTCGATCGAGCTTAGCTTTTGCTCTCGCCACCGATAAGTCGACCGAGTCTGACGTCTCTTAATTTTTATATACCGCCGTCTACTACACCATTTTTTCCTTTTTGTATATATGTTTTATATACCTGTTCCGTCAAACGAATTGTTTGTTTATTATTACTCCGTCGAGTTATTGTTTAATATACGTATGTAACATTTTCATAAATCTTTTGTCTTTCGTTCACTCTAATTCATTACCCTTTTGATAGTAATTTTTTGATGAATGGTTTACACTAGCCATACAGCATAACACTACACTTTCTGTGATTTTTGTTAATGAATGTTACCATTTTCATGCAATGTATAGCAATGTTTTGCGTATCCGCAGCCATCGTCGGCGGCGGTGATAAGCCTCCGTGTGTGACCGGCCGGGTACGTAATCGCATTGTTATCATCGCACGTAAATGTGTCCGTTATTCCACGTTTTCAGAGTTTTTCCGGTTATGTTTTTCGTTTATTCTGTCAAATCATGTTCTCAGTACCACAAAGTTTCGTAAAGTTCTTGTATTTTATTTTTATTGTGGTGGCACTGAAGCATTTTATCTTCTTTGTGGTGTCCGTTGGCTATAGCCTTCGTGGTGAATGTCTCCGGCACCATCGTTTTCTCTGTTCGTGTTCGTCGTGGTGTACACATCAACTGTATTCGTTTACGTACGATACGAATTTCAAGATTTTCTTTTGTTGGTATAAACCACGTTTTCTGTGTTTCGTGTTCTTGTCGGCTGTTTGGTAAGTGTTGTTCTGCGCAAATAGTATTACCTTCATTAAAGTCACCGTATGACTCATACGGTCACTTACTAACAGCATTTGTGAAAACATGGTTTTATTTCATTTTGTCATTGTCCGGAGCTGTAGACCTTCCATCTTCGTTAGTGAGTGTATTTTTTTGGTCGCACGTACTAGTTGCTGTGACTTATTTTTTATTCATACGCTGCAGTGTGCCGTAGTAGGCATTTGTAAAGTCATAGTGCTGATGCGGTCGCGTTGGGATAGAATCCGCCATCAATCACAGTTCCATGGGAGTATTGGTCGACCATACGTGTGTTTCATTTCATTTGTGTAAAGGCTGATGGGCCTAGCCATCAAAGGCAAGTTATTTATTATTTATGCTAGTTGTGCCGCTGTAGGGCCATCATATTATTATTACTTATTATTTGTGTGCCGTGTGGGCCACATAGTACATTTGTTACATTATTATTATCATTTATTGTAATTATATATTTATATATTTGCATTGGTTATTATTATTTGCACTTTTACCAGAGGCAAATAATTTTTGTTACCATTCATATTATTATTTTATTATTGTTATTGTAATTACATTGATTTATTTACTTATTTATTCATTTTTATTTGTTGTGTCCACCAGCCAACAATACATCTTGTACTACACTTTTGATCATTATTTATTTTATTTTATTTTATTTTTATTATACATTCTCGCGTGGACATTCCGATATTGTGCGCGCATTTCTACGTCACTCCCGGATTATGTCCAACCCTGAACCTTCTACCGAACGGAAAATTCTGTATTATACCAAAAGACGAAATAATTAGCTCTCCAGCTACTAGCTTGTAAGCTGATCAACTTTCTTGGGGAAATTCTCCCCAAATTAAGTAATATCACTTATTATTTTCTTTTTGTTATATTACATTATAATACTAGTCCACAGAAGTTAGGCGCAAAAAGCGACTTTATTCGGAATAAATCAAACAAAAGGTTTTGATTGGTTTTTTATTACAGTTTAGGGTCCTGATTATTCTCCTAAAAGTCCTAATAGCCCCGATGTTCATCAATATACTTGTTAACTTAGCATTATCATCTTTCTTATTTCCCATATTAATCAGATAGTCATTAATTGTTTGACCATTTATGTTTTCCATTGTTATTTTACAGTCATTTAAATCTAAGGAGTATATAGCAGGAGTAACAATTCCACCTTGTTTACATTTTAAAATAGCTTTGGATTCCGCTTTAGTACGTTCTTTTCGTAAAGTTTGATCCAACAATTTATTTCTATATTGTTTAGAAAATCGTTCTTTTATAATAGCTTTCCGATCAAAATATATTGTAGAATATATTTTTGATTCTGCTCCTTGTTTATATAACTCCATAATTGGGATGATTTATGTAATTTACAATCTGTTATTAAATATAAATTAAGTAAATAATATATTCAAATGACAATTACAAATGTTGGATATATATGTTAAGGTGTATGACCGCATAGCAGTGAATGTTGACATTTACCAATCATTTTGGTGAATGTTATCAATTATTTCAAATATCTCACAATGCGGACATTTACCAGTATTTGATGACATGCGCAATAGTTATTTAGTGAATGTTGACATGTCTGACAATATATATAATTTCGCACTCCATGGCCAGTTTTTATATGAGCTTCGTGATTAATGTCGTGAAGTTTTTCGTTCTTTACATAGTAAATAATTACAGTTTCACCTACTTTTAACGGGATGATTAGTTTATGATTATCCATAATATCCACAACGTCAATCCAATTAAATCTCCTGTAATAACTTCGTTGTTTATTTTTTTTTTAGTTTAACATTTATAACTTCAATTATATATTTATTATATTTTTCAGTGCTTAAATAAAAACAATTATTTTTCCTTTTTTTTTAATAAAAGTGTATTAAATTTTTCATGAAAAATATCTTTCATATTTTTATCCATTATTAATTTTAATCCAAATATAATATTATAAACTGTTATTAAACTGTTGTTTGGTTTAGAATACGCGACAATACTGAAGAGGGTTTATATTATTTAGCAAACAATTGACTATCGGATTTTCTCATGCGATAACATTACTGACACCCAAACATCTTGAATGCATATTGTGACTGGACGAGAACATCAAGTCTAATCAAAAATGTTATCGATCTTACAAAATAATACAAAAATATCTTTTACATACACCGTGCTTCAAATGTGGACAACAATTATCAAACACTGATCGTAAATGTCAACAATCACCGGTGTATGAACGCGTTAAGACCATTTTGTCAACATTGACTACGATTTTTGGTAAATGTAAAGATACATCGGTAACTCTCAACATTCATCTACTGCGGCCATACACCTTAACATATACATATAAATAAATTATAACTTTTGGAAGTTAATAAATACTCCGGATTAAATTTAAATAATATTGTTCTAACATTAACATAAGTGGTATGATATTTAATAACATATTAAATTAAATTAAATGCAAAATTTATAAAGTTTTATTTGTACAAACTACATTTCAATGTTAATTATTCCTTTAACTAAATGTAGTTATAATATTACAAAAACTTTTGAAAAATAAACAAAACAAAATCTTTTAATTAAATTAAACAATCGATAATATATCGTTTGTTCTTTAGAGCTGATAGAATTCAATAATATTAATACCAAAACCAAAAAACCAAAATTTACTACATAGATTTTTTAAAAAAAAAGAAGAATCATATAATATATAAATGTATAAAATAAATTTCACTTACCATACGATTTAGACGGTTCAAGAATAAATACTTAAAATGTTTTACGAATTAAAAGAACGATTTTTTGGTGAATGCGTGACAACGAAAACTAAAGATTATTGTTTACTTTTTGCATTGTCATTTATCACGAAAATATTAAACTAACATAGAAACTACTGTACAATACAATTGATGAAAAATATTCAATGTTTATACAATGGTATGAACCAAGTAACCATATATTTGAACCACAGAAATTAGAAAATATTCTAGACCGGGTAACATTAACCTGTTAACCAAATAATTGTAATTATTGATTTTTTTATATTTTAATGTGCATTCACTGCTCTCCGTGAAACATGATAAATAGAATTTTTTTTATCAAGTTATCTTTTCGTCAAAACTTAGTTTATTTTTTTATTTATCCTATTTCATCGTTCTTCGTTTTCTTATTCTACGAAGTCTTAAGCATTTTATGTTAGAACCATATTTCAACAGCTGCATCGACCTCAGTAGTATTAATAATACAAACACTTGTTTAAGATTGATAATTTTGCCCAAATCTCCTTACTATATTCTATCGTTGGAAAATTTTACTATACTCAGTGATGTATATAGGGGGAGATTAGGAAGATATATCCTCCCCCCATGGCTTTTTTTAACATTCGTGTATTTCTTCATTTGCTTCAAATAAGATCGAAAATATTTATATATGTATTAATTTACTAGTGTTAACCATTTAATCATTTTAATTTTAATTTAATTTTTGTTATTTTATTATTGTACTGACTATTCTAGTTTGTAATAATTACATTTATTTTCAGTAACTATGTCAACAACTTAGCTACTTATAGAATAAATTAACTTATTGTTGTATTAAAAATAACGCAAAACAACATTTCAAATTTTTATCTTTTATAATATACTGCATAGTTACTTGACGATATGCTGTCAGACTCACTAAGCTTGGTAGCTGTGATAGCGTTAATAGCGATCATAGATGTTATGATTAGACTAAGAAAGCAAACTAAGATCGCGAACGTTCCACGAGCGAATATCTCGTGGGTGAAACACAGACAACAGTCTCTGACAAACAGCATCCAGGAGCTAACAAACAAGATAGCTGAACTGCGCCAGAACAAACTAAACTCATATATTTTTAAATTGGAACGATCGACCGAATGTCTGAAAAAACTTAAAGGGATGCAAACAAAAATCCAAGTGTTTTACCAGGACGAAAGTTACCAGTGCAAGAGAGCCATGAATTACTTAGAAGAATCTGACAAGCATGGGGGCAATAGTAATATATATACAGTAGAGCCTCGATAATCCGGACGAATTCAGACCGAGCATCGTCCGGATTACCGATTTTTCCGGATTACCGGAGGTTTCTCAAGATTACCTACTCAAATGACTAAGATTTTATTTTTAATTTCACCATCTTTATATTTATTGCATTTTAAATTATAAGAATAATAAACAACTTAAATTAAAACTAAACTAATGAATTACAAAAAAAAAAAAATGTTTAAAATATGTAGAATTTAAGTATAATAATCGGTAATTTTTTTCTGAATAGTACTTTTAATTTTCATTTCAAAAGCGAGTTCTCTTAATCGACGTACCAACAAAATATCAGTGCTATCCATGTTCTCATCTTCCGCCCATTGCAATACAGTATTCAGTGCATTCACAGCTTCTGAAGGAGAAACTTTACTTATACTAATTGAGCCACTTTCATCCTCGTCGTCAATATCATCCTCTTTTGCTGCAATTTGTAGAATTTGATCATCAGTTAAGATTTCATGATTCGCTAAATCTTCGTCTGCGCCACGGCAAGCCCATTCCTGTGCTTGAGAATCAGACATTTTATTCGTACATGTTTTCTGTATCTGGTTTATAAGTGTAGAAATTTGAATGTCATTAATTTCAACAACTTCGTCGATTTTATTTTCTGTTTGGAAAGGAAGCAAGTGTTTCCACGATTTCTTTATGAGCATTGGCTGGACCAATTTCCAACAATTTACAAGACTAAAAACTGCGTCTTTTAAATTTATGGCCTTTAGAGCATCAATAAGGTTTTCACCATGCACCGGATCAGCAAGAACATTGACTAAGAGAGACTTACGATAGTTTAATTTAATATTCTGAATTACATTTTGATCCATCGGTTGAATAAGCGCTGTAGTATTAGGGGGTAAAAACATTGCAAAAATGTTGCCATCATCACTACGTAATTCTTCTGCTGATGGATGTCCAGGGCAATTATCCAACAATAATAAAGCTTTTGGAGGTAAATTTACATTTAAAAGGTGCTCACAAACTACAGGAACAAATTGTTTTTGAAACCAGTCTAAAAATAAAACACGAGTGGCCCAAGCATTTTTTTGTCCACGATAGTATACGGGAAGGTTAACTGATTTAAACGCACGTGGTTTTTGTGCAGTCCCAATGACGAGTAAAGGCAATTTATGTGTTCCACTTGCATTAGCACAAGGCATGAATATTATTCTAGCTTTAATCATTTTTCTTCCAGGGGCGTTTTTCTCATGACTTGATGTCAATGTATGCTCTGGTAACATTCGCCAGAATAAACCGGATTCATCAGCGTTATAAATTTGTTCTAGGTCCAAATTGTTTTCATTTATGACTCGCTGCAACTCATTTCGAAATGGTTCGATTGATGCTTCGTCACATGAAAGTTTCTCACCCGTTATTTTAAGGCGCCTAATACCATGACGATGTTTAAAATTGTCTAGCCAACCTCTACTAGCAGTGAAGCCATCTTCCTGCTTTGTTATTTCACGGTGAAATAAACGTGCTTTTTCGCAAATTATTTCACCACTTATCGGAATATGTCGTCTCCGCTGTTGCATAAACCATATAAATAAAGCATTTTCGAGAACAAGATTTTCCGGTTCTTTTAAAGTTTTACGTGTGCCTGGACCACGTTCAGTTGTGCTGACAAACTTCATAATTTTTTCTTTATTTTTTTTTATGTCACCAACAGTCGATTTACCTATTCCGTACTTCTCAGCAATCATACCATAGTTCTGGCCATTTTCCATTAGCTTAATTATTTCAATTTTTTGATCTAAAGTTAAAGTTACGTATTTACGAGGAGCCATTGTACAAACAAGAATAATAACCACTCGACAAGAAAGAAGTAAACGAACTGACCATCGGGCATCGATTTATTACCTACATATGTACATATTAGTCTTTACTAGGAACAGTAGGTAAAAAAAATGACGAAATTGTATTTGTCGATAACAATATCTTATGCATAGATTAATTGGGTTCCGGGAATTCTCGTAAAATCTATTTACGAACAAACGGAATTTTGCCGTCCGGATTACCGCGTTCACCGGATTATCGGGGGTCCGGACTATCGAGGCTCTACTGTATATATACTAGCTGAACCCGTGCACTTCGTAACCCATATATAGAATTCGCCCGTGTGCAGTTATTGCTTTCTCTAAATGCAATTCTTAAATCAGATGTTTATTATTTACCTTCTTTCTTTTTTCGATCCCCTAGCATCAAACGAATATAATACATATATGACGTCATCAAATTAGTCGCAAACTAAAATCTCTCTGAAATCGTAATTTATCGACAATAGTGGAATTTTCTTTCATATCTACGT